TCTTCCTCAACCAGTTTTAGAGAAGATAATTTCAAGTCCAAAGATCTTGACTCCTCCTGACTAGAAAATTCCTAATTTCCTTCTGCTGAAATGTATGTGCACTTTACTATTCTCACAGATAATAATTCTTAATAATTGATAAATATCGTCCTATAATTTCTTTTCACACAATCAGACTTTCTTCCAGCAGTTCCCTAAAGGCCATGTCACTCAGACTGATGTTATTGACTATGACTTGAAGAATGAAGGAGGAAGTCAGACACATTGGAGGTGTGCGTGTTTGTATTAGTGTGTGTGTGCGTGTGTGCGTGTGTGCAAATACACAAACATGTGCCAGTATGAGTATATGGTTACCAAAAAAGGACAATGCCCAAGACCAGCTGTAGCTTTGAAACAGTGTTTCCAGGGATCCAAGAAGGACCAGCATTTTTTAGAGAAACATTTGTAAATGTCTAGGATGTGGCCTTGGCCTAAAAAACCTGTCTGAAGGAAGGACTGTGATGAGAAAGGCATGTGGTGATGTCAAAGAATCTTGTGAAGGACAAGAGTGGCATCTCCTTGAAGATCATGAAAATAAGGTCAGAAAAATAAGAAGCATGGAAACAGGCAACATTCTCTGAGATAAAGATTCTGCTACTTCTACCCTCAAGCCCCACCATTAGTCCTGCCCTCGTGGTTGGTGGTTTTAGTCCTGGCTTACTGCCTGCGTCCCTAACTCTCTGCTATAGGCAACCTTCCTAGTGATTTCAGTGCCTATCCTTTCAACCCCTGCACGCCCTCTCACATTCTGGTTTGCCATTGCCTTTATCCTATTAGCCACTGAATCCAGTGGTCATTCTCTATGCCAGGAACTGCAGCCCCTCTGTGCTTTGAATTGTAAGCATCCCACCCCCTTACCGCCTTTGTAACAGAGTCAGCTAACTGTCCACCCAAACTGATCCTCTCCCTTCCAAAGAAAAGTTCAGTGGTTAATTTGAAAAGTACAGTTGCTGCCCAGCTGGGCACATTCCCCAGCATGCCTGCTGTAGACCAGGAAACTGGTTCCTACTCATATTGGCCAAAGAGTGGAAATGGTGGGAATCTTCTGGGCCAAGTGTCCTAAGAAGTAAGTACTTTATGTTCCTCTTCTGTTCTCTGTATGCAGACAATCACAAGACCCTTAGGAATGGCAAAGCTACCATAGAAAAAGATCTGTGTCCCCAAATTGCTGCATGGAGAAATATCCACTGAACAGGCACACTTGTTTTCAGTTCCTAGATGGTAAAAAAAATTCATTGTTTCTGAGATTTGTTTCATCAACCTCATCTAATGCAATCTCTGTTCCTTTGGCCTATTTCCTCTAATGAGGTAATATGGGCAATTTTTCTTAGTATCACTGATATTTTTGTTATTATATTCTTTCCCAGCCAACTTGGAGTCTATGGTCATTATGATGTTCTCTTGTATATTCAGATTCTTCAATGCCTTTTCACTTTGTTGCATCCTCCTAGAATACCCAACTCTGCTTGAAGTTCCCACCCACTCATAGTCCGCATAAGCAGAGACACACATGGCAAACCATGGGTACCATCATGGGTACCATCTTGAACTGCATGGCCATTACCAGTGAACACTGCCTCCCAATGGACCCTGACCAATTAGACTTCCAAATTTACTTGACGTCTTGTTCTCCTGGGTGACACCTCCTTCTTCTAAAATCTCTCAACCTTTCTCCTTCTCTGTTGATGATTTTGCTAGTGTCTAAGACCTACTTAATTTCTATTCCTAGCACAGTAGCCAGAAAAATTTCTAAAACCAGTATCTGATCATGTCTGTCCTGACTTGAAACTCTGCACTGGTTGTCCATCCATCTCTGAGTCAAACCCAACTCTTCACAATGACTCTACTAACTCTCTTCCCCAATCTCACCACTATCTCCCTCACTGGGCTGCAGCCACAGTGGCTCCAACCGAGAAATCTCACCTCTGTCTCAGGCCTTTGCACCTGTATATTGCGCCTTCACCTCTGTTAGAATGCTGTTCAAATATCACCTTATTAGTGAGGCTTTCACTGATGTACTATTTGAAGCAGGAAAGTTCAAGCCCCCAGAACTTTCTACCTCCTTGTCTGTATTATTTTTGGCATAGCATTTATCACCATCTGACATACTTTTTGCTTGTTTATTATCTCTCTCCAGTAAAATATAACCTCTCCAAAGGTGATTACTCTTACCTATTTTGTACATTTCTGTAGCTCTGGTACTTAGAACATTGCCTGGCACATAGTAGGTACAAAAATAAATATTTATGGAAGGATAAGGGAGGGAAGAGAGGAAGAAAAGGAAGGAGGAAGGAAGGAAAAACTTGTTTCCAGGCATGAAATTCAGCTTCCTAACACTAGAAGATGCAGAAAAGTTCATATTGGAAGATGGTACACAGGGAAGGGATTTTGCTGAAACCAGCAGCTGAGGCCTCCCTCTTTCATCTCAGGGTCTCATCTTCTCCATGCCAGGGATGAAGCCTCTGTTTCCGAAGCTCCCTCTGGTCCCTGCCAAGCAGGACACAGTGTCTCAGGGTAGTGCTGAGGTAAAGAACCAGATATCAGCGGCCCACCTCCTCCTGCTTATTTTGTCTTGTAAGCAGGCTTCCTCAACTAACGGTTTATTGTTGGTTGGTGGCAGTTTATTTTGATCTTGCAAATTTCTAAAGCTGGCACTGCTCACTGTTGTGCCAATCTCAGTCCCAGCGCCCTTTAGGAGTAAGAGGAGAAGTTAGGAGGAAGAAAGTCTTTGGAGCTCACAGGAAGCTTAGAGGCTATCTAGTCCAGGTGCCTGGCATCTTGAAGAATCTTTGGGTGGACATCAGAAGCTCTGTTTATTCCCTGAACTTTTTTGGTGTGTTTTTCCTGGGGTGAGAGTTCAGTTTTCATCATGTTTTCCTAGCAGCCTATAGCCATCAAAAGGTTTAGTTCAACTTCTCAGTTTATAAAGAAACATGGAGCCCAGAGAGGTGGATTGATTGGCTTAGAGGGTGGCAGAATAGAGCTAGGACTTTATGTCTTCTTTTTCCAAGAAGCTAACAGCTGTACACATACTTTACAAAGTGTTGCTGAGTGAGGTGGCACATGCCTGTAATCCCAGAGCTAGAAAAGCTGATGCAGGAGAATTGCTATGGGTTTGAGGCCAGCCTGGGCTATATAGTGAGTTCAAGGTCAGCCTGAACTACATAGTAAGACCCTGTTCAAAAACATCAATCAGTCAATCAGTCAATCAAACATAGTGTCAAAGAGGGTCCCTGCCAGTCACCTCTGGGATATCACTCAGTTGAGCCACTGGCTGGTAGCCCTGAGGCCTGTAGTGTACAGAGCTGCCACACGTGAAGACAGAGGGCTTCAAGGGCCAGGGGCCATCAAGGTCAGCTGCCCACATCATTGTCACACCCTGAAACTAAGAGCAGAGCCTGGGGGAGATGAGTGCCTGCCCCTAGGCCTTTGGGGAGACCCGCAGACAGAGCTGGGGAGTCAGTGGTCTTGGTTTCACTCTCTCTACCTGTGACCTATTCTCTTGTTCATTTCAGGGGAAGAAACTTCTTCAATCACCTCAGCTTCATATGTTCTCAATAACTCCTCCTCCAGCTCTTCTTCAGATGGGATGAACTTGACCAACTCTGCCCTTCGCATTCCAGTGACTTTTGAAAACCTAGTATCATCTGTTAGGATGACAAAAGGTAGAGAGCTTTTTCACATGACCCCGTTTAGAGGTGGAACTCTTGACTTTTGTCTCTGACTTGGAAATATCTATTTGTGTTTTGATTTAGCCTCTTCCAAGGCACTTCGGATTATCTCAGCAATCCTTTCAACTACCCTACTTGGTAGATGTTTTTCAATCACCATTTTACAGAAAGGAAACTGAAACCGAGCAGTTAATTGACTTGTCCAAGGTCACAGATCTGCTAGAGGCAGCAATGGGAATGCTACCCAGATTGTAGCCTTCAAATCCAGAATACCTCCTCCTACACCTTCCTACCCTGGGAATCCATGGGCCTCTATGGTCTTTGCACTGTTTGTACTTAAGACTTCAAGTCCTGAAAGCTGGGACTTTTAGCAGCTCTAGTACACATTCACTACAGCTCTGTGACTGCTTCTGAAAATTATCATGCAGGAGGGAGGAGTTGGCTTCTACCTTCTCTCTGGTGTACCGAACCAGGTGTAGCAGGAGACCTACCTGTTCTTGGCTCCAGGGGAATGTCAGGTGAGCTACAGGGGCCTTGACCAGGACAATTAGGGCTGGGGGTAGCAGCAGGGCAGTGTAGGATTGGAAGAGGCCCTAAGCACTTGCTGGCTCCAGAATGCCTTTTTGCTGAGGCCATCATGAAAGGGAAAGCTAGCTCATCCCAGAAGGGCTCCCATTTCACAGTCCTCCAACTCTGACAGGCCAGAATTTCCTATGGGAGCCAGGGGAGGTGTCGGAGTGGGTCCTGGTGCCATGATACTGCCCAGGGAATGGCTAAGTGTCACTGCAGTTTGACAGCCTCCCAGTGCCAACAACTTTTTTTTTTGGTACCGGGGATCCAACTCGAGTCCTTGTGCTTGCAAGGCAGGTGGGAGAACCACTGAGTTAAATCCCCAGCCCCTCAACAACTTTTGATTCTCTCTTCTCCTATAGTGGACAGTCTGACCCTTCATTCCCTTTCAGACAGGCTATTGGTATACCAGGTCTTCCCAGCCCCATGATAGACATCTTTTAAAGGTAAAAATATAAACATATCATTTTTAGTCACTGTAAAGTACCACACACATTCACTGGCTTCTTCGCTGAAAAGTCCAAAGACAGCAAAGACTCTTGAGCAGCAAGAATTCAAGGAAGAGGTTGGGGTCTCCAAAGAATGAGTCTGTATCCCAAGTACAGATCCCATAAAGATGTTAAGTTTTGCAAAAACCTAAGGAGCTGTAGTCAGGGCTGTGAAAGTCCCCTCCAATTCCCACCACCTCGCTCCCACCCCTCACCAACAGCCACGAGTCACCTTCTATAGGAGGCAGAAGCTGGGGTGCTCCCTGTCGAGGTGAAGCCTGGGGTCTTTCAGCATCAGCTGGGCTGGCTTCTTCCACCTTTAGCTTGGAGCCTAAGGCCACCTCCGGAGTTCTGGCTGACTCCATGTTGGGCCAACCCAGAGGCTGGGCTCCAGCAGAAGACTGTCACTGTTGGTGGTGGTGGGGTGGCTGACCACCTGCTCTGCAGACTGGCCTCTGGGGTCCCAGCCACAGGCTTATGTAAGTGGGCTGGCCTTTCCCCACCTACCTACCCCCAGCAGAAAGGTGAAGTATGGGTTAGGGGAAGAGAGAAGGATCAGACAGAAGCCCAGAATAGCCACAGGAGGAGGGCTGAGGTGGCTCTGTTATCTTGGGAGACAGATGACACCCCTCACCGCGCTAGGGAGGGAGCAAAGAGCTTGAGCACAGACCATCCAAGAGACCTCTGGCTTCTGTTGGGACAATTGGGTGACATCTCAGCTCCTGACCTCTGGCTCATCCAGCGAGGCATTCAGGTTCCAAGTTCCGCTGCTTCACAGGCACACCTTTAGCTGTTCCTACATTCAGGAAAGTCACTACTTTGACCTTCAGGACCTGCTTCAACCTCTCTGCTCTCTCTGCAACATCACTCCTCAAAGTTAGCGTCCTGAGGTGGTGGGTAGAGTCTGTACCCTGCAGTCGGACTACCTGAACGCTATATGGGCCTTGTGACGCCTATGTGACTTGCAACATGCCAGTCTCTCTCCTCTCTCTCTCATGCTGGAGATTGAACACAGCCTGCTAGACAAGTACTCTACTAGTGAGCTGTATCCTCCGCCCTTAGTCTCTTACGTCTGTATTTTCATCTGTAAAATGGAGGTAATAATAACCATTGGGAGGTAATCTCTGTAAAGTGCTTAGTAGAGTGTGGCCGACAAAGTGCCTGATAAGCAGAAGCTATTTTTAGGTCAGGCCATCATTTTCCCCTTTGAAAGCTGTCAATGGCTCCCTTCCTGAGATACAGCTAAATGAAGTGGGAGGCAGCAGGGGTGGAGGGAGGAGGGCTCTGCTGAGGGACCTGTCACTTTTGGCTGTACCACTCAGTCACCGGCTGGTGGCTCTGAGCCACAGGTCTATGTATGAATCAAGGGACGCCGATGTCATGATAGTACAGAAGACAAAATGATAAAATGCAGCAAAGTGGCCAGCCCGTAGTAGGTGCTAGTTATGCACAAAAGACCTTATACGACTTCCTGGTGTATCCAGCCCTCATTCTACATGTGTCATAGACTCCATCCAAATTATTTTGTTTCCTGTCATACTCCCACTTTCCTGTCTCCAGAAGTCAGCATCTCCTCTGTATTTTTAAAAATATACTTTATTTTTAGAGCAGTTTTAGGGTCATAGCAAAGTTGAGTGGAAGCAGAGTTCCCACATTCCCCTCCCCACCCCCTTATTTTTTCCATGGTGGGGGGAATCAGTGTTATACAATGAATGGGCTCCTTATCTTAGCTCCCGACTTGGGGGGCAGTAATTCCTGGGAGCCTTTGTTAGTATCTTGGAGCGACAGAAGCCCCAGTCCTTTTTTTTTTTTTTTTTG